TTTGTCATCATCCCCAATGGCTGAGTTTATGTTCCCACTGAGTAGGACTGGGTACGTGCAGAGAGGTGGGAGAGGCTGTGTGACCAAGACAGATGGGGAAACCTCCATAGTCTTTTTATAGACCTTAAATCACACTAATGTCTCCATTTATTTAACCGACTGTCTCTCCTACCAACTTGTGACGTAACAATATAACATAAACTAGGGTGACCAGATAATCCATGTCAGATTGGACACTTTGAGCTTAGGCAGAATATGTAAACTACCCATGCTGATTGGTGTGCCGATAGGTCAGTCCTCTATAATCATGCATGTGTCACTAATGTTAATGTGATACTGCTGGGCGTCTTTCAGTCAAAGAAACAAACTAGTCAAAACACAAGAAGAACTCAACTATCCAGCCAAGCTCAGGTGTAATCACAGAGGACTAGACCATACTTAATATTTTGTCATTCAGTTTTTCTTTAGTTTATTTTCTGTGTAATAGTCCCTACAGGATTTCACAAAAAGTTTTGTGATTGTTGTGGCCAAAGATGTTCAATTTGCAGATGCTTTCATAAAATTTCTTTTAAACTAGTACCAGTGAAGAAAGAGACATATTTAATGAGACATTCATACATTCTTTGTGTATTTAATTTTATATTTAATTACATTCTTTGTGTATTTAATTTTATATAGCATAAACATAAACAATCACATTCTGTGCTTCTGGCCAAGGCTGAGTCTGCATTATTAAAGGCTGGTTAACACAAACAAAAGTGAGACCATCAGTTAGGCCTATTCCAAACTCTGTGCAGTAAATCTATATACTTTCATTACCAAAGTGTTCATTGTTTGTTTTTATGTAGACCAGGGGTAGGTACCCTGATTCTGGAGTGCTGGTATCTAGCAGGTTTTCTATCCTTCTGTCCAGTTTTGTGTAGACATCACATTCTTGTGAACCTCTTTAACTTTCCCACAAAGTGACAATAGCACTTGACAAACCCCCATGCACTAAGGTTTTTTACATCACAATTTTGGTTAAAATGGATTTCGTAATTCAAGTCATTTGGAAATACATATTTGTTGCATTTGAATAATGGATTTGCTAATGGTGGCTTTTAGCACTTTGAGCAGAAATTATGCCACTTTAATGTTTTTGCTATTCAGCCGTGCTCTTTGTGTGCTCTCCTCCCAACACATTTGGGTAACATTTACAATTGGGAGGTGGCATTGTACAATGAATTATTAAAGAGACGGCAAACTGTAACTGAAGGTGCCAGACCAGACCAGAGTAGCAGTGAAAGAGGAAAGGGTGAATAATCCATCATTTTTAAGGTTGGGAATTGTGGGTAATGTTTAATTTGCCAAAACTCCATAAAGAAATGCTGCACCCTAGTCATGCATGTGGATTCTTGCAGTGTTTTGATATGTATTTGCATATACTCATTTAACAGGCACTTTTATCCAAAGCGATATACAATTGACAGAGCAGGATAAGCCAATTCCTAGAACAACTGGGGTTATGGGCCTTATTCAAGGACTCAACACTCTACTGACTGTTGGGTTTGAAACAGTGACGCTCCAGCCAAAGACACCTAACCCACAGAGTCACACACCACCCTGAATCTGCATAATAATCAATGCTATAATAGATCTTGGGGCCAATTCATCAACACTTGTGGTCAATGAGAATTAAATATCAATCGACCTCTGGCTTACAGAATAAAATAATTCATTCATCACCTTGAGTGGAAATGTCTTCGTGCTGTCCCACAGAATGGCAGAAATATACAGCAATTTGGGTGTAAATAAATATAACAAAGAATGAATGTAAAAGTAGACAATAAATATGCAATGAAAAACAAAAGAATAAAATGAGTTTTGCATTTCAGTCTGGAACTGAAGGTTCTCCTTGTCTCATGATCATTGGCACCCCTGCTTATGTCCTCCATGCGGATTTGGCAGTTATCGTGTATTTATGCTGAGTCTTAATCTTGTTTATCTCCAGGGGCATAATCAAAAATCATAGCAACCCCCCACTCTCTCTCTGGTTACGCAGATGTTCCACATGCACTGTAAAGTCACACTTTCCATATTGTCGGTTGCATATTTGCACAGACATACGGTAATATCATGGAAGCTAACTGCTGCCTTTTCATGAGGTCTCCATCAGCAGCACTCTAGCAGGCACCAGAGTGAGATGAAGGATGTCTGCAGACCTCAGTGACTAGGAGGGCCATCAGTGAACCCTGCTACACATCGCTAAAACTGCTACACGTGCTGATGTGCATCTTATAATCTTCTTAGGATGAAGATTCTGCCTAGTAAGAAAAGCACATATTAATCATTTCTGAATGTGTATATATGTGTCTCATATTGTAGCTACTCTGACATAGTCTGGATTGCTAGGAAAGATCAGACTAATTCAGCACAGGATGAAGGCAGAGGCATCAGATGTGATGGACCGCGAAGTAGTAGCATCTGCAATTTCGCTGATTCAGGGAAGATAAATTAGACAGGTTCCATTGGGTTGTGTCAGACAACTTGTCTCCCAACCAGCAAGTCCTCTGCATGGCCAGGCCAAAGTCTTTAAAGATCGTGGGGTGTAATGGAGGCAACAGGTAAAACAGGCTGTGGTTTCCTCTCTCAGTGCAAGCGTGAAACCGTGTCGGAAACAATGCTTTATACGCAGGCAGAATAAGGGGATGTTGGGGTGGCAGCTATTGAGCACGTCGACAGCTGGGGGGGAAGAAGTGGTTCCACAGCCTGCTCAACATTCCATGACTGAGGTAAGAAGCAGGCTTAAATAAAAGGACACTACATGAGCTTCATGAGGGAGTTTGATGCGACGTGCCCCGTCTCTCACACCCAGACACACAGCTTACCCCCCCCTGTGACTCTCAGGAAAGAGCCCTTCAGGGCATCAGCATCAGTGCTTTGCTGTCACTCTCACATAATCAGAAACAGATCATCAAAAGTTCTGTGCTCTGTGGGACCCTTCATTACCTTCATTTCATTACTGACCTGATTCTGCCCAGTGCATGACCACACAGGAAGTAATGCATTTTTACATTCATTTATGGATTAAACCGAAAGAAAAGTGATGGTGTGGTAAACTTTTTAAAAACCTGCTTGGGTTGGGGCATCCTATAGGAATTTCCTGTTTTTTAATGCAGTCAAACCCGATAACATTTTTGCAGCATACACTGAAACTCATGTAATACTTGTGTTGTATCTCACTCAATTTTCATGTCTCCTAAACTGATTTCAGGAGAGGAGCTGACACAGTGACACAATGATTTATGCATAATGAAGCTTTTCTGTTGAACAGTATGTGTTTTATTACAAAGGACAACTCTGTCTTTGTGGATCAGGCCAGAGGTGCCAAGTTATATTCAAGGAAGGGTAACAGCCAGAATATAATCAAGTGCATATGAGCAGCCAAATTTCATGTCATGTCACACAATACTTACCATCTGCTGCTTTCGCCAGTGTGACTGTCTTGTTTTTGTCCCAGGGGGGTTATTTGCTGAGACAGCGGAGTGCCGGACCACCCCTCGCCCAACTGTGAGCCAGTTCTGTCCTCAAATAGTTTCTGTGGTTTCCTGGTGTGTTTGAATTATTTCTTTCACTTTCTTTTACATTGGGTTGAAACATTTAATGAGTGACATTACATTCGTCGTAACCACCACTAAAACAGAGCTTCCTTTTGGTATCAGATTACTTCAGCAGAAATAAGAATTTAGTGACAGGTGAAGATGTTCAGAAGACCTTAACTCCTTGGACTCCAGGACTGCAGATGAAGGAAAAGGCCTATAGTACCACTTGTAACTAGTAATATATAAGTAAATGTAAAACCCTTAACAAATTTTTAAAATTCACATAATAAATAAAACCTATCCCAATCACAACAATATAAAACTAAGTTACTTAACACCTTAAGTATATTTACTTTCCGCTTTCGGGATCCTTTTGAGTGAAACAAAGCCACACTTCAGACCATTTAGATTTAGGCATTTTAACCATGGATGGATGGTAACTACTAGCTAATGCTATTAGTCTGCTGACATCAGAATAATTGTTACATTAACTGGTGATGGCATGTGAGCTGCAGTGATGTTTCTGTTGCCTGATCACCAGAGAGCAAATATTTCAATCAACAGCTCAGGCATTTAAGTGGCAGAGAAATGAGGCACCAACATCTGCAGTACAAACCAACTGCTGTCACACCCGGCCAGGACGGAAACTCAGGGACCAATATTGCGGAGCACATTATTATCTGGATCAGGGAAAAGGTACTTGAATCGGCAGGCAAAGTTCGTAGTCATGGTCACGGGTCCAGAAGGGTCCGATGCCAGAGGTATCAAGCCTACAGAGGCACATAATTAGAATCAGAATCACTTTATTTCATCAAGTATGTTACACAATTTGTCGATAATCCGCTCCGTTGTCTATACACTCCAGACGATACACTGGAGTTTGACTCGCTCTTGTGAGGTGGAGGAGTCAAACCAGATGGTTACGGATGAAGTGAGGATGGACTCCATGATTGCTGGGTAAAGCTGTGTGGAGCAAGAGGTGAGCACATGAGGAAGGACTGAAGGATTCAGGAGCAAGGAAGGGCTGGAACAGGCAAGAACAGACACAGAACAAGATTGTAACGCTCAGCACACAGAGCTTATAGAGAAGCAGCGATACCTCGTTCTGAGTGCACAGACAGAGGGGTTAATAAAAGAGCCAGGTGTGGACACTAATTGGTGCTAATCAGTCTGCTCCACTCTGCAAAACCGCACCAGGTTCTTAGGTAGAGTAGAGGTGGATAGCGGAAAAGGCTCACCCCAACATGGTGCTCCTTCATGGAATATGTGGAGAGCCCATCCCTCACTTGAGAATGAGGACTTTAGGTCCGGTTAACTTTTCTCCCTTTTTTTTTAGCTTTCTGATCCTGTTATACGGTATATGTGCTGTGGCCTCTATTGTGAGGAAGAATCTCTCAGTGCTCTCAGTCCTCTATGAGACATTGTACCTGCTCTGCTGGGCATTAGTCATGCCTTATATGTTTTATTTGCCTATTGTGATGTTTCGGCTTTTGCCTGGCATATTGACCCTGTCTTCTGCGTTGCCGGTTTGGATTTGAAATCTCATTCAACTGACCTGCTTTCTGACCCAAGCCTGTCCTTTGGAGTAACAGTTGTAGATTACATTTTATATATATATATATATAACATGCTTACCATAACTATTTAGCCCATTTCGTACGGCTCTGTGGTTCAGCTTAGACACTTTTCCTAAATTTTACGTGATAACACTATTTTACTCACCAATAAGATAAGGGTGAAGAGATTTTTTGAGGCGAATCACCGTCTGAAGGTGTTTAAGACCCAGGGGCTGCCGCCCGGGCTGGCGGAATGCGTGCGCACAGCCTGCTCCCAGCGCTCGGTCTATTCACAGTTCACAGAGCCGCTCACGCTAACTTGAAGCGACGGAAGAACCTTTTGCGGAACAAACAGGAGTATAGTATCAGGGAAGGCTGACCGAGCCATGAACCGGCGCTCCAACACGGAGCAAATTAACATCATCGAAAATAACGCAGCGCTTTCAGATCATTTATACAAGGCAGTGGACGCTGCCTCTGGTGTCAGCTTCCGTTAGAGCAGGCATGCATACCGCCAGAGTCGCTGCTTCCTGACTGCGCATGCTCACTGTCCCCAAGGTCGCCTGTACAGGTTGCAGTGCTGAATGCATTTAGAGAGGGCCCCGCCCTCCCTCTCGGTGCAAGAGGTTAAGAAGTCTATAAGTGTAATTTACCATAGTTTCGGTATTTATCTGTAAACACATCACCAAAAAGTCACCACATCTTGAGGTTTTCTACTGTCCAGTTCGCTTCATAACACGGCTGCACCGCAGCCTATGTCCCAAAAGCCTTACGTGTGTCAAAACCCCTGAGAGCATTTGCCGGCATTCAGAAGTCTGGTTGAAGTCTTGAAACCATGGCTTGAATATCCTTTCTGAAGAAAGTCCAAAAAGACTGAAGCCTTTTACGATCATCACCGACCAAAAAAAGGAAAAGAACAGTCTGATATTTTCTAGTTAAAAGCTCTGAAATTACACAGACAATTCTACACCAAAGTTCAATTATAAATACATTTCCCGAGTTTGTTCTTTATCCAAATGCCTGTGATAAACATCTCTAATATAAAAAATAAAAACATTTTTTATAGATCACTACTACAGAGAACTAAATTGTGGAGAAACATGCGTCCATCTTCCAGCCAGTTGTGTGAGATACTGGTGACTGCCAGGCCAAATAGGGCAGGTGTATATTCTGGCCTGGGTGTCGAAACATGCAATGTTTTTTTCCTTGAAATCCACCTTTAAATGCATTTCTACCACAGGCATTATTCACCTCACAGCAGTTTTGTGATACTTAAGGTACAGAAATCATTAACCGAATAATGAGACGCAATGGTGACTCAGCTGCATTTTAACTCTGCTCTGGCTGCCCCAGAGCAACCCCCCCCCCCCCCCCGACCCCCCCATCCCCACCCCCCATGGTGGTTCACTTGTGGGGAGACAGGGCTACGGCACACTGTAGGGCTGCACTGTGGCTCTGAGCAGCCGAAGGTGTCAGGGTGCATTAGCACAGTACTGCATGGCTGGGCAGCACCCAAAGAAAGATAAGGAGGGAGGGATGGATGGATGGGGAGAAATGGATGGAAAAGAGGAAGAGCAGAGTGAGGTCATCGGCACACTTAGGCCAGGCCAGCCCAGGGACCCCAGGCAAGCTAAGGTCAGCTAAACAAATATAAATTCAGATTTACACACTTTCTCTATTGAAAATCTTATCAAGTCTCATCATGCACCTGAGTCCCCTTTTCAATGTAGGCTGGTGTAAATGTGTGCATGTGTTTGTCTGACAGTTGGAGTATATGTCCTTATGTTGGTGCATTACTCTGGCTCCTCCCCCACATATCTGAGCTGGAAGCGCTCATCTGGAATGCTGTGAGCGATAACCATAACCAGTGGCTGGTCTCCAGCGATGAGCTTGCTTTCTTTCATGCCAAAAGCTATACTGTGATCCCAGGCCCCTCGGACCCTGGGGGAATCTCCCCTACACTCCGTCAGGCTGCAGTGACACCAGCGGCTCTTTCTCCCACCTTCCTGCAGCTGCAAAAGCTCACTAAAAATACATTAGGTCACCTGACACTTCCTCGTCCCCCAGGATTTTCGAGAGGATATCAGTAGTAGCTAATCGAAGGATCAGGAGATTTACACCCTGGCTGTAGGTTGGGGATGATGGTTGGGAGATAATCAGTTTATTTTAATGCTACAGCTTATTGAGTGGTTTTCAAACTGTGTGGCTCTAACTGGAGGGTGTAAAATGAAGTACTGGGGAGGCCCTCATGATTCCGGGTGACTATGGAACAGAAATGGTGAGAATATGGTAACATTTCCCCCCAACAACACTTGCCACCAGCTCGGGGGTGTGACACATATAGGCTGAAACACAGTCTCCCTGTGGCCTTACGAGTGTGCAAATCTACCTCTCTCTATTATATACAGTGGTACCTCAGTTCTCGAACTCATTAGAACTCAAATTTCTTAAAAGTCGAACCAACCAGTTCGAAAAAAAATTACCTAGAGCTCAATCTAAATCTCAGAAGTCAAACCGTGAACGCTAAGATGACTTTTACGTGCGGGGAAATGAGTCACGCGGCACATTTATCAGCGGAAACAAAGGGTAAAGCTTCAGTCTCAGCCTCGCATTCACTGTGATAGCACCGTGCATGTTTACACTAACTGAATACATATATTTAGACAGTAAAAATACATTTAGACA